CGAGAAACATTCACGCGTCTTCACCGCATCGTTCGCACACTGCTATCATTTATTTTGGACTGTGTACACCTTTTTTTTTTGTTCTACAATGGTCATTGGATTTGTCATTTGTAAGTAGATGGGTCGTGCAGGTCGTGCAGGGAACACTTATATATCACTAAAGGAGCGGGGTTAGACACCCACATTTTTTATTTCCATTTTCTGCTTTCTTTTTTTTTTCTCTTTCAGTTTTTTCTTCTATACAAAATAATTCAAGATTAAAAAATCCAAATGTATCAGTAAATTTCAAATATTTGTTAAAGAAATCACAAAATATTTGCATATTCATAAAAAAATGCTCAGTATTTTGAAAAAAATGTTCGAATATTAAGAAAAATGTTCATGACTTCGAAGAAATGTTTGCGTCTTCTAGTATGTGTTCGCGAATTCAAAAACTGTTCATAAATTTTAGAAAATGTTCATAAGAATCAATTTAATGTCCGTCAATTACAAAAAAGTTCAGCTATTCAAAAATGTACACTTATTTAAAAAATGTTCATGATTAATTATTTCTTTTGTGAATTTCAAAAATTGTTGCCAATTTTCAAGAATGTTGTCTGATTAAACAAATGTTGACGACCTTCAAAAAATGTTCACAAATTTCAAGAAAATATAAAAGAATTTTTTAAGAACGTTGATATATTCATAAAATATTAACTACTTATAATAATGTTCGCAAATTTGTAAAAAAATCACGAATTTGATAATTGTTCGTCATTTCAAAAAAGAAATCATGAAATTCGAATTATTTTTCATGATTTGACAAATGTTCACAAACCTAAAAGATGTTCACAAAAAAGGAAAACCGAAATAAAAAAGGAAAAAGAAACATAAAAGAAAAATTAAAAAGAAACAGAAAAAAGAAAAAAGAAACATAAAAGAAAGGGAAATTTTTTTTTTGCCACTCTAGTTTTTGCCTACTTTGCTTATGCCACTCTATAATTTGACATATCACTTTTGCTACTCTTAGTTTTTGCAATACATCACAAATGTCATTCCATGACAAAAGCAATAAATTTTCATT